CAAAGGAATATTCTATCTACTTAAGGGGGGACTATACTTTTGAAGTCCTAGGTGCTGCTCTGGATTCCTGCGCCATTGAGGTGCTCGTGGGTGCCCTTGGTAGCATAGAGGGTGAAACCCATCTCCTGCAGCTGTTGAGCTGCCCCAGAGCTCACGAACTCGCTCTTGGCCGTGGATGGGCCCAAGGAAACCAAGATGGACTGCGATGGTAGCTTGAAATTCGCCGCCACCATGCTCTTAAGGAAGGCCTCGTGGGCATTCACGCCGAAGCAGGCAACTTCGCCAGTGGAGGACATCTCCACCCCAAGCCGAGGATCAGAATTTTTCAGGCGGCCGAAAGAGAACATGGGCGCTTTGCAGGCCACGAACTCGATGTCCATGGGCTGGATGATGGCTGGCCGAACCGGCATGCCAACCATAATGCGGGTCGCAAGTTCGATGAAGTTCACATTGTAGGTCTTTGAAATGAAAGGCATGGATCGAGAGGCACGCAGGTTGCACTCGATCACCTTCACCTCGTTGTCCTTGCAAATGAACTGAATATTGAAGGGACCGGAGATCTTCAGGGCCTTGCAAAGCTTCTGCGAGATGCTCTTGACCTTGCGGTGGGTCTCCACAAACAGCCTTTGCGCAGGCAGCAGCAAGGACGCGTCTCCGCTGTGCACCCCTGCGTTTTCAATGTGCTCAGCGATGGCATAGTTCACTAGCTCGCCCGCCTTGCCTACAGCGTCCAGCTCCACCTCCTTGGCACCGGTGATGTACTTTGAAATCACGACCGGGTGGTCACGGCTGACAACTGCAGCTGTCTTGAGGAAGACTTCCAACTCCGAGTCGTTGGTTACCACTCGCATGGCCGCACCGCTGAGCACGTAGGAGGGCCGGACAAGCACTGGGAAACCTGCGGAGCGACAGAAGCTGCGAGCCTCATCGAGGGTCTCGAACTGGGACCACTCAGGTTGGTCGATGTGTAGCTGGTCGCAAAGTTGGCTGAACTTGTTGCGGTCCTCACACGCGTCGATGGCCTCAACTGATGTGCCCAAGATCCGGACACCGCAGCGGTGCAATCCAAGGGCAAGGTTGTTGGGCGTTTGCCCACCCACGGACACAACCACACCCCTTGGCGTCTCGAGCTCCGTGATGTCTAGCACCCTTTCGTGACTCAGCTCCTCAAAGTACAAGCGGTCGGACTCGTCGAAGTCTGTGGAGACAGTTTCGGGGTTGCAATTTACAACTACAGCCCTGTGGCCCAACTTCCGCAGGGTGCGCACACAAGAAACACTGCACCAATCAAACTCAACGCTGCTTCCGATCCGGTAAGGCCCGCATCCAAGCACCACCACTCGGGACTCCTTCTCCTCGTGTCACGGGGCTCAACATGTAAGAACTGGGTACACAAAGAGCCCCATACCTCTCAACGCAATATACCGTAAGTTATATAAGGATCCCTCTGCTAAAAATCTTTTTAGCCATGTTGCTTTTTGAGGGTATTAGGTATTGGGTTTAGGGTTTAGGGTTTAAGGTTTAGGGTTTAGGGTTTAAGGTTTAGGGTTTAGGGTTTAAGGTTTAGGGTTTAGGGTTTATGTTTCCTGGGTAGGTGGGCTATAGGATCCCTGCTGTAGGCTCGCTTGGGGTTTACTTCCCATACCCAGCTTTCGTCTTACCTCACCGCTTGAGCCCTGATCTTAAGCCCAAAACCTTACATAGCCCTATATCCCCCTATGTTATCCTCTATATAACCCACCTTTAAGGAATTGAGACCCTAAACGCTATATAGCTGCCATATAATCCCCTGCATAACCCCCCTTTAAGGAGTTTAGACCCTAAACCCTATATAGCCCCTATAATCCCCTATACAAACCCCCCTTAAGGAGTTTAGACCCTAGACCCTATATAGCCCCTATATAATCCCCTATATAACCCCCCTTGAAGGAGTTTAGACCCTAGACCCGAAAGTCTCCTCGCGAGCGAGGCCTGGCCCTTGCAGCGTCGTCGGTTCCGGGATGGAGCTCTGCAATGGAAGGCGCTTGGGAGGGCCTGGGTTGCTCTTAAGGAACTTAACTTAAGGGTTTAGGGGTTAGAATCAAATGGAAAAGAAAATAGAACATGAAAATACAGGGATTTAAGGAACTTAATTTAAGTTACTATATTGGGGAAACATACTATATATGCCCATTATGGTAACTTAATTTGAATTACTATATTGGGGAAATCATATTAATTACTATATATATAGACTGGTAACCTAATTTAAGTTCCTTGACAGCAACCCAGGAGCTGAAGTCCGTCTCCACAGGGGCTTGGCCACCAACAAGTTCCACATCATGCTCTTGGCCGCTGTAGGTCAAGTAGAGGTAATTTGTCTCGGCAGGGAATTCTGCTGCCAGCGTGTCGATCTGCTTGACTTTGGGCACAATGCCGGCGCACCTTCGCATGTGGCGGATGTGGGCCTCGGTAACAGGGCCACCCACATAGCGGCTGGCGCCGAAGTCCGCAAGCTGATGCCTTGGTGACAACTCCGTGTGCACCAGTGTTGGGGCTGACACCAGCGATGCAATCTGGCGATCGGAGAAACCACGGCACTTGGCCTCCAAGAGAAGGGCTGGCTGGCTTTGAAGTCCATACAAGTCCATGTGCCTCATGGCTTGCTTGAGCTGATGCAGGCCATGGAGTTTGCCCAGAAACCAGCAGTCAATGTTGGTCAGGCGGTGGACATCTGAGACATCCATGCCCATCTCGAAGGCTTTTGCGACTGCCCAGATCCTCACAGGAGTCGGGTTGCTGAGCTCCTTCTGAACCTCCCGCATCATTTCTGGGCCAGCCAAGTCGACGCCCCTCCTGTCCAATTCGATCTCGAAGCGCGCCGGGTCGAAGCCAGGGCTAGCCTCGTCCACCATGCGCAGAGCCTTCTGGATGGTCTCCTCGAAGGTGCGGCCGATGGCCATAACCTGGGTTGCTGTTAAGGACCTTGAATTAAGTTACTATATTGGGGAAACCGTGAAACCCTGTTAATTACTATATATCCAGTATATCATGCGGTAATTTAGATGAAATACCCAGTAACCTCGCCGACGCTCTGCATTGCCGAGCCGATTCGGGCGTCCACAGTGGAGAACTTCTGCAGGTCCCAGCGTGGCACCTTGCTCAGAGGATTGGGTGAGTGTTATGCTCAAGCCATCCCCAAGATCCGGAGCCGGCAAGCTAGAGACGTTTGAGCGACATGAGCTGTTTAGAACCATTTTTATAGGGTAACTGGCATTGAAACTGTTAAGACTGCGTTTGAACAGCAATTGTCCAAACATTTCTTGAAGGCAACAGACCCCATAGACCTTGATGGTCCTAGATGAGCTATAATCTAAACTCCTAGTATCCCCCTTGATAACCTTTACAATACTCCGCTATGTAATTCCTTACATAACCCACCTTTAAGGAGTTTAGACTATGGATCAAAAGACATCTCTAAAAATTGGGCCTGAGGACTCTGGAGCGTAGGAGTCTCAGTCAGGGCAGGCGGGAAATGGGGGTTTACCGAAATTAGGGGTACCATATCGGGGGTCCCCATACTTGTGATATCAACTATAATATGTCAGGTTCTATATTGCGGTCCCCCTGATTTCGGGAAACTACCAAGTCTTCGGAGCTTTCAATCTCCAAGCCTTCGCCCCTAAACCCTACTAACCGAAACAGAAGGTGTCAACCTCGACCCTTGAAAGACAAAGTGCATCGGCTCATGACTCCAAGTTAATTCCCTCACCTTAATATTAAACCACCCCACCTCCCCAATATCGAATACTCCCAATATATATTCTAATATACCACATCATGGGAGTATTCAATATTAAGGGGTGGGGAGGTTTAATACTAGGGGGGGGATTGTAGGGGCGCAAATTGAAACGGGTGCGCCGCATGCTCCACACGCAACGTCGTCACCATGTTGGTCGCTACTTGGTTCCCCTAAACATAATGGGCCGCATCATAGTGGAGACCGTGGAAGGGACAGCAACTTTGACAATCTTCCATATGGGACTCGCAAGTGTAAAGTTTCACCTGAGAGCTAGAGTGTCTTTGGATTGGTCAAGATTGATTAGGCAAAAAACACAAGCAGAATGCTGACCGTGTGTTAAAACTCGACTTCGGTATGCATCACTGAACAACCCCTACCAAATTCCGAGCTTCCACACGCTAGAAGCTGACCACCTTGCAATTATGGGATCTGAACGTGTTTCTTACTGGTTTTTTAATAGGGAATGAAGGGAAAATCATATAGGGATTACTCCCTCATGCCTTACTAACCACTAGTGTGGTTTAGCAAAAGCCAGGCGCCTTGGCCACCACGTAGTCCAGGGACGGTTCGAAGCAGGCTGTAGTGCATCGCGTCACCTTGGCAAGCACATCCTGATATGAAGCCATTCTGGGACTATTCAGACTATTCTATACTGTACAATAATGAATCCACATCCTGGGATCAGGCCATTTTAGGACAATGCCGCATATAAACCACATTTGGGTGAGGTCGCGTGAGGTGGCCATAATTTACCCAGGTCACGCTGTTGCGAAGCTGCGCCAAGTCGTGACCCAATGCAAGCTTTGCAGCCACATAGGCCAGGGGATAGCCTGTTGCCTTGGAGGCCAGGGCACTACTCCGTGAGAGCCGGGCATTGACCTCAATGATACGGAACTGAGAGCTCTTGGGGTCCACGGCATACTGGATGTTGCACTCGCCCACAATGCCCAGGTGACGGATGATCTTCAGGGCACACTGTCGGAGCCGGTAGTACTCCTCGTTGTTCAGCGTCTGCGAGGGCGCAATCACAATGGACTCGCCAGTGTGGATGCCCATGGGGTCCAAGTTCTCCATGTTGCACACGGTGATGCAGTTGTCGTTCTTGTCCCGAACCACCTCGTATTCAAGCTCCTTCCAACCCTTCAGAGACTTGTCGACGATCACCTGCGGGCTGTTCACCAGCGCCACCGTCACCAGCTTCCGCAGCTCATTCTCATTGTCTGCAAAGCCGCTCCCAAGACCGCCCAGTGCAAAGGCAGCACGCACCAGGACTGGGTATCCGATCTTCTCCGCGGCATGAATGGCCTCCAAGACCGAATCACAGCAGCTACTCTCTGCGATCTGCTCTCCGCAAGCATCCACCACCTGGCTGAAGAGGTCACGGTCCTCTGTCTTGATGATGGCCTCAATAGGCGTGCCAAGGACCTGCACATTAAAGCGCTCGAAGACTCCCTGCTCATGGAGCCGCACGGCGCAGTTGAGCGCAGTCTGGCCGCCGAAGGAGACGAAGATGCCGTCTGGGCGCTCCCTGTCGATGACCTTCATGCTATTGGAAATATGGTACAAGAAAATGGAAACTATAGGGATTGTATAGGGATTATGGTAGTATGAATAGGGGTATCGGAAATAATAAGATAATGGAAAAGAAAATGGAAACTACTATGCATGTTATTTAGGTTAATAACCCCTGTAACCCATATAGTAACCTTCGTCACGAACTCTGGGGTGACAGGCAGGAAGTAGACACGGTCCGCCATGCCGGCAGAGGTCTGGACAGTTGCGATGTTGGGGTTGATGAGCACGGACATGATGCCGGCCTCTTTCAGAGCCTTCAAGGCCTGACTCCCCGAGTAGTCGAACTCTCCGGCTTGGCCGATGGTCAAGCCCCCGGACCCCAAAACCAAAACCTTGCGGTAGCTCAGGGGGATTGAGTATGGGATGGTCGTCACAGCTGAGGCTGCAGGATCAGCGATGAACTGCAGGAACTGCTTGAAGAGGAAGTCTGTGTCCATGGGTCCTCCACAGGCCTCTGGGTGGAACTGGACGGAGAACCAGGGCCTTGATGTATGGATGATTCCTTCATTGGTGCCATCATTGGCGTTCACCATCAGTGGCAGCCAGCCCTTGGGGAGAGACTGAGCATCCACAGCAAAGCCATGGTTCTGCGCGGTGATGTAGCAGCGCTGAGTCCGGAGGTCGACAACGGGCTGGTTCATGCCCCGGTTCCCAAACTTCATCTTGAAGGTCTTGGCTCCAGCCGCCAGGGCAAGAATCTGATTCCCAAGGCAGATGCCGAAGATTGGAGTGTTGGGCCGCTGCTTCATCACCTGCTGGAGGTGCTGGATGGTCTGGGCGCACTGACTTGGGTCACCGGGCCCGTTGCTGAGGAAGAGGCCATCGAAGTCCTCCTGCGTGAAGTCGTAGTCCCACGGCACCACGGTCAGCTTAACCCCAAGACCTACCAAGCAGCGGATGATGTTGTTCTTCATTCCACAATCCACAGCCAATACGTGGACATCCCTCCAACCCGCGAAGGTCTGCCTCTGCCTCCTCGAAACCTCTGCCACAAGGTTGCGAAGGTTTGGGTCCTCAAAAGGGGTGGTGCGCGGGCTGCCTTGGATGAGGATGCGACCGAGCATTGCACCTTCTTGGCGGATGATCTTGGTGATCATGCGCGTGTCCACCCCATAGATGCCCGCCACGCCCTGACTTGCCAGCCAGTTCCCCAAGGTGCGCACGCAGGAGTAGTGGGCCGGCTCATAAGAGTAGTCGGAGATGATGACGGCCTTCACGTGGATGCGATCACTCTCAAACCACTTTGAGAGTCCAAGCTCATCGGGCTCCTCAGAGGGGATCCCGTAGTTACCCACCAGCGGGTAGGTGAAGACCAGGATCTGGCCGGCATAGGAAGGGTCCGTGAGGGATTCCGGGTAGGCGACCATGCCCGTGTTGAAGACCACCTCGCCAGAGACTGACACCGGAGCTCCAAAGGAATAGCCGGTCAAAACTGTCCCTGAGCTGAGTTCCAGCGATGCCTGGCGACGGGCGGCCAACCATGTCTGAAGCTCGGTGGCCTCAGTATCCCCCTTAATAATGGAGAATCAAATGGAAAAGAAAATGGAAAATGAAATGGAAACCCAAGGTCCCCTTTAAGGAGTATATAGGGATATTTCCCCTTAAAAATGGAGAATCAAATGGAAAAGAACATGGAAAATGAAATGGAAACCCAAGGTCCCCTTTAAGGAGTATATAAGGATATTCCCCCTTAATAATGGAGAATCAAATGGAAAAGAAAATGGAAAATGAAATGGAAACCGGGAGTATATAGGGTATTATAGGGGCTGGCCTCAGTTGGTTTCACATCCATAGGCTCCAGCACCTCGAAGTCCTGATCCTGGGTTGCTGTTAAGGAACTTAAAATAAGTTACTATATTAGGGAAACCCTATAGGGTTTAGGGTTTAGGGTTACTATATTGGGGAAACCCTATTATTTACTATATATACCCATTATGGTAACTTAATTTAAGTTCCTAAGTTCCTTAACAGCAACCCAGGATCATCCCATTCCCCCATTGCTGCCATGCCTTCTGTGAACTGTTGGGAATCGCAGCTAGCTCCGCTGCTGCTTAGCAATTGTTGAGCACAAATGGCTAATGGGCAAAACCCCTTCGTCACCTGGGAATGGCTACTCCAAGAGCTCGCCACAACACTCACATGGGTAGTTCCCAAAATTAGGGTCCCGTTCTGGTACCCCCAAGTATTAGGGGCTGTAGTATAATCTATAATCAAAAAGGGCCCATATTTTGAGAACAACCCACATTCGTTTCCCTTTTTTCTTGTCTCCTCATGGTTTCTACGCGTGTATTACACAGGGTTTGGTTGAATGCAAAAGACCACATTGCCTTGCAGTGGCACATGTGAGCTATAGTCTGAACGAATGGTATCCCCTTAATAGCCCCTATAGTAGTCCCCTATGTACGGCCGTGTATATAACACCCTTTAAGGAGTTTAGACCCTAAGCCCTAAACCCTGAACCCTATATAATCCCCTATATAACCCCCGTTAAGGAATTTAGACTATGGCACATGTGAGATCTTCATCTTCGACGCCCCAAAAAAACCCTAAACCCTAACCCTAAACCCTAAACCGTGTGCCTCCATCCGGCGGCGCAGGGAGCATTCGCAGTTGGGGCCTGCGAAGGCTTTCCAGCCAGCTCTCAAACCTTGGATGGCACTGATTTTGGGGGTTGGGGGTTTAGGGTTTAGGGTGGTCCCCCAAATTAGGTACTAGGTACCTACTATAATGGAGAATCAAATGGAAAAGAAAATGGAAACTGGGATTATATAGGGGATTATAGGGATTAGGGTTTCCTGAAATTAAGGGTACCGTTTTGGGGGTGCCTATAATAAGGACCATAGTATTTGGGGGTCTATGTTGGGATCCGGCTATTTAAGGAAACTACCATTTGAGGGTCTCAGTAACTTAGTATCTGAAAACTGTACATTAGAAAATGGCCTTCCGCGCTGCAACCTGACATAAATCCAGCATGTCCTGCAAGCGTTCTTGCCGGGAAAGCCTGTCCACTACAGCAACGTGTGCCTTGGTGTCCTTCCCTTTCCGTTCTCAGATTGTTAATCCTGAATCCTATTTGCTATAGCCGACTCGTAGCCCATGAGAGTATGCATGACCAATATGCCAACATCCATAACCACCAAGCCTTACTCTAGCAGCTGTGGCATAAGTATGCTTACGTGCTCATGCAGTTCATCGCCCTGAACAAGAAGTGTCCATTTTCTTTTCCATTATCCCTATATACACCCCTATATCAATCTCTGCCAAAGAAAGCCTTAAAACCCTAAACAGAAGTTTCCATTTTCTCTTCCATTATCCCTATATAACCCCTACATCAATCTCTGCCACAGAAGTCAAGCTAATCCTTCATATTCTCGTCTCTTGGCATACTCCCAAAGGGCCTGTGGAGTCCCTGGGTCCCCGACTTACTGGGGGTAGGGAATAGGGGGAAGAGTGCGTATATATATATATTATGTACAGATATAGATGTAGATGTACATAATATGTACAGATATATCTACATATATAGGGGTTAGATAGGATTACCTTCCCTTTATTCCTTACTGACAACTAGTAAGCTGAAGCACTCCAAGGAATTCCTGCTTTTTTCATGCTGCTGGGATGCCCCTTCATGACTCGCTTGGCCTCCTTCCCGTGGAGAGATGACGGGGATATACCCCAAAACATCCCACATCCGGGTCTATATGGGGGTTTAGGCGTCTCGTTTTGGGGGTCCCGATTCGGCATTTTCCTACCTGGGAGACATGACAACTTCATCGGAGCTAAACCAGACCCGTAGAAGGAAATGAGGTAGGCGCATTACGAAACGCTCGTGTTCAATCTTCTTCCACAGCAAGTATAGGAGAGCACAGCGAGGTTCGGGGGGACTTAGTAAGAAGGTTAAGAACCCTATAAGCCATTTAATAACCCTAGCTACCTCCCTTATTACCCTGCTTACTGCATCCCCCTGACCGTACACCCTAAACCCTAAATGACTCAAAGTAGTTAGTTAGTCCCGTTGACCCACCAAGTAGTGACTACATGGATGCAACTTGGCCCTTCCGTTTCTAGCCCCGAACCCTAGAAACTGCCACATGCAATGTAGTCTCAACTCCTCGACGGGGGTTATATCTGGGAATATAGAGGAAAGTATTCCGGAGGTTATAGTTAATAAGCGGGATACTCGGAGTTTAGACTATAGTTCATATGACCCAGTTTCCATTTCATGTTCCAGTGTCTTTCTACGTGGTTCTCTATTCCCAAACGCAATTCCTCCTCTATCCCTATGTAAGGCACCTGCCCTACAAACGCCACTTTGGTTGGGGGGGAGTCTGGGAAGTACCCTTCTGCAACAGGGTTTCTTAGTCCGCCCGGAAACGTGCCCCTCGCAGCCCCCTAAACCCTAAACCCTCAGCTCCTTGGAAGCTTGCCGTCTTGCTTTTCTATCAGCAGCTTCCGCCAGATCCGCACACTCCTAAGGCGATAGCTATAATGTACTGTAGGGATGTGGGCTTCGGGATATGGTCGTTTGCAAAAATAATGGAACCCCAATATGCGCCCCAACATACTATAGTCCTTATTATGGGGACCCCCAAAAAGGGTACCCTAATTTTGGGAAACCCCCATATGCAAGGTTGGGGTTTGTTAGAAAGGCCGTAGGGTTGATAAGACTAGGCTGGAACGTTGGCGGGGAAGTGGGGTCCAGTGGTTCAGGGTTTGGGGGCTTGGTGTTACTATAGTAAGGGGTTTAGGGTTTAGCTGTTTCGGGCAATACCTTAATGAGGGAACGCCACACGTATGATTCTTTTCTACGCATGAAAACTTTCTGAGGAGACTAATGAGCTGCAGGTCATACTGGAGCGCAAATTTCGGAATCAACTCACATACCACGTACGCTCACTGGCGTCAGCCATACAACATGAATCTACCAAGAGCTATTATCATAGAAGACTTTGTACAGAACATCGCAGGCACCAGGCTCTTTCAAGTTTCAAGGCATGGCTCCTGCTTGTGCTTCTTCCAGTGGGCTCGCTGGCACGACCGACTGCAATACACCACCTCGCTTGTGAATGGCGCTTTGGAATAGGGAAGGTCATGGCTTCCGTTACTACCCCGCCTTATTAGGTTCCCGCTTAATTTGATTGAACTAGGCCTTCCCCACCTCTGAACAATCTAAATCAAGGAACCTACAAAAGGTGAGTAGCGGAACCCATGAGAAGGGGTTGGTGTATACCTGGATGCAAACCCTAAACCCTAAACCCAGATGGCTTTCAGTTGAAGTTAAAAGGGCAAGGTGCCTACCGACTTTCGAGGCGATCCCAGCTGTTAGGCAAGCTCTACGGTCCAAACCCATGGGCCCCGACTACAAGCCCCATCAAGGGCCCATAGTTGGGATCCTGGAAACAGGTAGGGTCCTACCCTCAACCCTAAACCCTACACCCTAAACCCTGCACCTTGGCTCCATTCTACGGGCCCGTGGCTCGGACCCTGGACCATCTGTGTCGTAGGTTTAGGGTTTAGAGATTAAATTTTAGGCTTAGGGATTATAGGGTTTAGGGTTTAGGGATAAGGGTCAGGGTTCCGGGTTTCGGGATTGAGAAAGCAGACCACCAAGCGCCCATAGGATTCTCTTACCAAGACCTCCCACGTACCCAAACGATTTGACCTTTCGAAGCGGTATACCTAATAGTACCGGCTTTTTACTTCAGAATACTGGGCAGGTTCTACCCAAAGTTCTCTGGTAAAAAAAGCCCGTATCATGGGTATACGGAGGTATAAGTATATCAACCCAACCAGCAATTACATACTTGCAAGTTCATGATTACTTGTGGCACGGACCCATAATTGGTTTTGAGGAATCACTACTTAGAGGGTGTAGGGGACTTGGCAAGTAGCTCAACAACTCCTATGAACCATA